AGACAACAAAGCTGTTATTGCAAGCAACATCATGTAAGAGTACATATTTATCTCGTTTCCAGGCTTTGGTGGATATTTATGGTAGAGTATATGATTGCATGGCGGTACTCCAGGTTTAGCACCCTGAAAACTGCATGTTCAGGTCTGGTGTCTGCTAATAAATTGGGGTAGGGTTTCGTGGAGGGAGCCTATTGAAAGCAGTTTAATTATTGTTTTAACTTTTTTTTTCCTCAAATATTTTATTTGCCAGGTATGTTGTTGGACAGTATCCACGATTTCTTAGAGCTCATTGGAAGTTTCTGAAGACTGTAGTCAATAAACTGTTTGAGTTCATGCATGAGACACACCCAGGAGTTCAGGTTACTATGTCATCTTGTTTTTATGCTTACTTGGTTATACCTTCCCCTTTCATGTGTTAAGGTGTCTTTTTGGCTCAAAGTATGCTTCGGCATTTCATAAAGCAATAACAACTGTCATGCCTTAAATTTTCAGGATATGGCTTGTGACACCTTCCTGAAAATTGTTCAGAAATGCAAGCGCAAGTTTGTTATCGTACAGGTTAGTAGATTTTTGCGGTCAAGTTTGATAGCAGTCTATTCCCCTTATACATGGTATTTTAGGGTTTGGCATGGCCAAATTGTAAACTAATTTCTACCAAAATAAAAAAATAAAAATTGTAAACTGCACTTCTTTTGCAGGTTGGGGAAAGCGAACCCTTCGTATCTGAACTTTTGTCTGGCCTTGCAACCACTGTTGGTGATCTTGAGCCTCATCAAATTCATTCATTCTATGAATCTGTAAGTGATAGTAATTTGTATGACTTGAGTTTTTCGTTTCTAAGTATTTCATCCTTATTTGAGATATCTGGCTTCTTTTCTGTTAGGTTGGACATATGATTCATGCAGAATCTGATCCACAGAAGAGAGATGAATATTTGCAGAGGCTCATGAATCTGCCAAACGAGGTTAGTTTTACGATAAATGCTGGACTTAGTGATTGGTTCAGTGAGGCTTTTGGTTTGGGTCCTAGTCCATATGATCAATTTTGTTTTAATTGGATTAAAACTAGAAGTGAAAATTGGTTGCACTTTATTCTTTTAGATGACATTAGACTGTAATATGGTTCTCTCTCAACTACTTGCTCATTGATACTGGCCTCATTCATCTTCCCACTTTGTATGTTATGGTTGCTGTCTGATATTCTACTTTGTTTGGCAGAAATGGGCTGAGATTATAGCGTCTGCTCGTCAAAGTGTTGATTTTCTGAAAGATCAAGATGTGATTCGAACTGTTCTTAATATACTGCAGGTACATCTTTTAGTACTATCCTTGAATTTCTTATTATGTGTTCTACATTGATGTCGCGATAATGGCTCTTCCGATGCCAAGTCTGGCTGATTTCTTGAAAGTTTAATCAAGCAGGCTTTGTTAGTGGAGAACTACAGAGTCTTACACTCTTCGGTGTGGGTTTAGCAGTTCCAACTTCATATCTTATTACAAAGAATCATCACTCATGCTAAGCTAGTGTTTTGTACTATTAATGTGCAGACAAATACCAGTGCCGCAACTTCTCTTGGAACTTGCTTCTTACCCCAGATATCTCTGATCTTTTTGGACATGCTTAATGTGTACAGGTATACCACTTAAAAGCAATATTTTTAGTTTCTTGTGTTTATATTATTTTACCAGATTTGGACAGTTTAACTGTGCTCCTTTTTCTTGTTCTTAATGATTACAATATTTGTGGGGTTTCTTCTACAGAATGTATAGTGAGCTTATATCAAGTACTATTGCAAATGGTGGACCTTTTGCGTCACGAACATCATATGTAAAACTATTAAGGTGGTGCTATTTAAATTGTACTTTGTATAGGTAGAGAGCTCAATCCCTTGGTTTCTAATGCGCATTGGTTCACAGGTCCGTTAAAAGGGAAACACTTAAGCTCATTGAGACGTTTTTGGACAAGGCTGAGGATCAGCCTCAGATTGGGAAGCAATTTGTGCCTCCAATGATGGATCCTGTTCTTGGAGACTATGCTAGAAATTTGCCTGATGCTAGAGAATCTGAGGTTCTCTCACTCTTTGCGACCATTATAAACAAGTATGTGTTCTGAGTAACTTTTCAATTCCCACTTAAGGTTGATGGTAGATGAAGGTGGTGATGTTCTGCTAAACAGAACGAAGGAATGTTGGAATATCCAATGTTTCCATTATTGTATTTTTGTTTTGTTTCCACATTGACAGTGGTTCAATTGCAGGAAATATTACAGATGCTTTATTTAATCTCATGCCAGTTTATGGAAACAAAAATGCAATAGCCTTTTTGATTAGTAAACAGTCCTTTCAATCCAAATTGTTTTTTGTTTGTTTTCTTAAAGGTATAAGGCTACAATGATAGATGACGTTCCTCGCATTTTCGAAGCCGTCTTTCAGTGTACTTTGGAGGTGAGATTTGAGGTTGTATTTGTTTGTTACGTTTTTCTGCTTCCAGTGTCCTTGAAGGGCTTAGGTTTCTCTGTGGTCAAATGGATGAAATTTGATGTGCTTTTTTAATATATCAATTTATTCTGCCAAAGATTCTCTCTTCCTTGTTCGGTAGTTGGAATGTTGTTTGGACTGGTTTACAAAAATGGTTTTACATTCTACCTGAGCTGATATGTCTGGCCATGAAATACTGCAGATGATTACCAAAAATTTCGAAGACTACCCCGAGCATCGCCTCAAGTTCTTTTCACTACTTCGGGCAATTGCAACCCACTGTTTTCCTGCTTTGATTCATTTGTCCAGTCCGGTAGGTTGATTTGTTGATACATTCCAGGAAGAAGAAAAATCAATAGCAAGTCTGTCATTTGACTTTGCTCAGTCGCTTCTGGAATTTATGTGTATTGTATTTATATCATGGTTGCTTTTCTTAATACCTCAAATGATCCATTTTTTCCTCTTTGTATTATTCCAATTCTTCAGCAATTGAAGCTGGTAATGGATTCAATTATATGGGCTTTCCGACATACAGAGCGGAATATAGCCGAGACAGGGTTGAACTTGTTATTAGAGATGCTGAAGAACTTCCAGGTTTGTGCTTATTGCTATATAATAATGTTCTTTTTTTAGCCTTTGGCATATGCCGTCTTTTTATGGTGTTCATATTGGGAACTTTTCATGGATGGCATGTCAGGCGTCAGAGTTCTGTAATCAGTTCTACCAGACCTACTTTGTGACGATTGAGCAGGAGATATTTGCAGTGCTGACGGACACATTTCACAAACCTGGATTTAAGCTGCATGTCTTGGTGCTACAGCACTTGTTCTGCTTGGTATATTTCTTGCTATATGGTTTTGTATCTATACTTTCAATCGACTATAGTGGTGGGAAGGAAGGCAAAGCAATCATTCCCTCCTGCTCAATGCAAAAGAAAATAATTTCTCCATCTACAGTGTGTTAGCTAGAACTATTTTTGTTCTACGTCTGGCCTTCAGTAATGTGTATACTGGTTTGGTTGGTGACTGAGATGAATATTGCTCAGGTTGAGAGTGGGGCGCTGACAGAGCCTTTGTGGGATGCTGCAACTGTTCCTTATCCTTACCCGAATAACTCAATGTTTGTTCGAGAGTATACAATCAAGCTATTGGGCACGTCGTTCCCCAATATGACTGTAGCAGAGGTAGAAACTTATGGCCCTGTGCTTTTTTGCTCTATTGCTGTAATTTTCTCCTTTTGTATGAAATTTTTTACCTGTGGATACACAGCTGACGAAGTCGCTGGTTTCAGGTTGGTCAATTTGTGAATGGGCTATTTGAATCGAGAAACGAGTTATCAGGATTCAAAGATCGTATTAGAGATTTCCTTGTGCAATCAAAAGAATTTTCAGCTCAGGTATTGCCTTCCGTCAGAGGCACAACTCCATGTCTATGTGACACACTTTGTCTAGAACTAGAGTTAACTGGTTTGGGAAAACCTTAATAGGAAGGAGTATGTAATGATGTCATGGATTAATCCTTGAGCTTATGAGGTGGCTGATTGTGTAACAAATGCTTGTTTGGTTTTGTGCAGGACAATAAGGACCTTTATGCTGAAGAGGCTGCTGCTCAGAGGGAAAGAGAGAGGCAGCGGATGCTTTCTATTCCGGGGCTTATTGCCCCTAATGAGATACAAGACGAGATGTTGGATTCGTAGAAGGCTTTTTCCCTCGACAGAGCAGCATAGTTTTTTTTTTGTGTGGGTGAATTTGGGAGAAGTTCCGTGTCGGGGTAAGATGGTTCCAGTTTCGTAAGGAGGAAATGAATGTTGAATTGGATATACCACATCTACAGTTTCCCCTAGATGCCCCCCTGAATGAAAGTTTTCAATTGGTAATGGAAGGAGTGAATATTTGCGGGGAAGAGTGATGTTGGGCATATTGCCAAAAGGGATGTTTGGGTCAATTAGATGGCTTTTGGGCTGTAGAGTTGGTAGCTTGCTAAATGTAGGGGAAAGAAGATGATATTGGATTATAGTTGAGGGTTCGTTTGTACGGGTTTTGTAGGGTGGGGATCCAGCTTCGTACCTGTATAATTCCAAAATCATGATCACTGGTAGCGTGGGGATCAAGCTGTTTCAAAGCTGGCTCTCTGGTTTTTTGGTTTTCCATCCCTTCATCTGATGAATTTTATTTAGGCATGGGAAAATTCAAAATACGAACCAATTGGTGGGTTGTGCAGAACTACATTTGAGTGCCCTAGTTCCCCCCCCCCCCCCCCCCCCCCCCCCCCCCCCTTCTTTTCAAGCAAGGGTTTTAGGCTCGATTTGATTGGTTTCGACCAAGGTTGTCAACACGCGGGCTGATTTAGACTCGATTGAGCTAGTAGGTCAAGACTTAATCGGTCACTCTGTTTAGTTCGGAAATATGGAAAGTGTCATTGTATTGTACTTATCTTGATAAATTATATCAAATATCATCTAACTTATGAGTTATAACATATAATATCACATCAAAATAACATGTACTTAGATCCAACATATAGTGAAAATTTACACACTTTTATAACATCAACATTCAAATATCAACATTCAAATGTTCAACTTAGTATTTCAAAGATTGAGTTAGGCGAAAAGAAAAATAGGTGCATTTCGCAAGCCAAAGAAAAAAATGACTCAATTTAGCCTCCATCCCGGTACCTTGTAGTGGTCGACCCGACGGGTGCATGCGGCCCGTTTTTCTCACCGGATCAAGGTCAAACTCGATCGACTCGCGGATCCACCCGCGTTTCGACAACCTTGGCTTCGACTGATTGAAAGTACCATATGTCGGAATTATCCGAAAGACATGCATTGTTCATGGGTGAACTGGGTTTAACACCCGTTGTTTCACATAGTTTACTATCGCAAACACATGCTGTTCTGACATCTCAGTCCACATTATTTTGCTCTTATTACAACCAAAGTATGAACGAGAAAATGTAAAAACAGTTCCATCTCTTGTGCCAACAGATTCGCTTATGTTTTTATTGGTCATTCCAGACGAGTTAAGAGATTCCGAACTATCAAAATGCTATAAAAAAAATCAGGAGCTGTTTATTATTACCATCATCCAGCAGCAGTTTGAGATAATGCTTTCTTTCTATTGCTTGTAACAAGTTACTACAAAATGACTACTCAATTAGGGCATAGTAGTAGTAGATACCAACTCTACCAATCTGCAGAAATCATCAGAGGAGCTTCCCTTGGGCTTAGTAGCTTCCTCAGCTTTCTCCTTGAGAACTCCAACATTGTCCCTCATCCTCTTCCCTTCTTCCCGCTTCAAAACCCTATCCAAACAACCAGCCAACCCTTCCTTGGAAAACACTCCACCTTCCAAATTAACCCCAATCTCCCACACATCCTCCAGCATCCTCCCATTCAGCCTCTGATCCCCGAAAAACGGCCTGCAGATCATCGGAACCCCACCGGCGATGCTCTCCAGCACCGAATTCCACCCGCAGTGCGTCACGAACACCCCCACAGCGCCGTGCCCCAGAACCTCTACCTGCGGAGCCCAGGGGACCACCATCCCCTGCCCCTGCCCCTGGCTCCGCTCCACGAACCCTTCGGGCAAATGCGCCCTCGCGTGGTCCCTGAGCGACCACAGGAAGGGCACCCCGGTCGCCTCCAGGGACTCCGCCACCGCACGGAGCTCGTGCGGTGGCGGAGTCACCACGGAGCCGAAGCTGATGTACGCGACCGACGCGGGCGCCAGGTTCGGCCCGTCGAGCCAGGGGAGGCAGCTGGAGGAATTGGGTGGTGGCGGCGGCGGGGAGAGGAGGTGGAAAGGGCCGATGTTGAGGAAGGAGGTGAAGCGGGATGCTAGGTCGGCGGCGATGGTGGGATCGAGGCCGCGGAATGAGTTGATGAAGACGGCGGCTGCGGATCTGGGGAGGTGGGTGGACATGTTGTGGAGCATGGTGGAGAAGATGGAGGTTAGGTTTCCGGTTACTACTCCTTCCGGTAGGTCTTTGACCCGGATTTTGGACATCCCTGGGACTATGCTGCCCAGCTGGGCCTCCTCTGCTTCTGCAAGTGTCAGGAAGATAACTACTTGGTTAACTTGTAGTTTGTTCAGCCTTTAATCTTTGGTTTCAAATGCTTATGAAGATCTCATTATGTTTAAACCATGGTTCAAAAGGCACGCTTAACCTTATACCTAGACGCAAGGCAATGACAAAACGCCTTGCCTAGGGGGTTTCGCGCCTAATAAGATATTGAAACATGTCAATGGAGTAAGTCGACATATAAGTCTCTTGCTAAACATTATTAGATGGAGTTAGAAAGTCAATATTAAAGGAGAAAATTAACATCAACTACGAAATCAATTTTATGTATCAATATTTCCAATAGCTCAAGAACTTTGCGAGCTATTGAGCCATGATTCTATGAATTCGTAAGCTATTTTTTGTCATTAAGTGTTGAGCAAGTTATTAATCATTTTAGCTTAAGTGAGGAAGTGTTGTAGATTATTATTTTATTCATCATGCAGTGCGAATAGCTATTGTTCTTCCAATGCCTAGGCACGCTTAGTCTACGCCTACGCGAGCAAGGCGCTAGGCAAAGTCTCAACGCTCGCTTTACGCCTAGCGCCTTTTTGAACCTTGGTTTAAACTATACAAGCTGAAAGTCTAATGGTTTAGCAGCACAAGGGCTGAAAGGCAGATTTCGTTTAAGAAAGCGTGTAAGTGATAAAAACTTGACAGATCATTTTTCAACAACTCGAGTTATTGAGACTAAATGATTTATTCGAAGCAAGGAAGGATTGCATATGACAATTTTTCAAATTCCAGTATGTATTTATTCATAAAATAAAATTTATGTTGGAGAAATGGATATTTCATAAGTGAAACATGAAATAGGTCAAAAATGACTTTTGGATCCTATTTTGAGCACCTTCAATTCAATACTTTTGTAAATATATATATATGTGTGTCAAATTACATATCTGAAAGTCAATTAACAACTTAATCATTTATTCTTTAGGAAATGATATTTTAATATGGTTTGAATTCCGACACCAATTATAAGCTAAAATTTGTACTTTCAAGTAAGGTGATTATATCCAAATTATCAAATTAGCCATCACTCAGTTCTTGGAATCATTACTATCAATAATTTTCAACCTTTTTCTCTCGTAGTTAGCTAAGCTTGAATTTACGTGACTACCATGTCACCCACTTATCTTGTGCCAAATTAAAAAAAAAAAAACTCAAAATTACATTAATGAAACCGAAATTTAGTCAAAATCCCTAACATAAACGAAATATTTTTTAAAGCCAGCACGAAATATGCGGATAAAATGATAACTACGTAGATAAATCACAACTGAGCTACTGACATGAGAAAAAGTAGACCATCATCAAAATCAACGGTGAATCCGAAAATCAGATCATATTTATCAATCAATTCAAAAAAATCTCCCCCGTAATCTCCTAATTTGGAGTGTCGAGAATGCATAATTAGAATTTTTAATTATGGATTCGCCAACAAACTAACTGATTCCGCTTTTTACCTGGAACGTTTCCGAGCGCTTCCCTCAAGCGATCCGTGTACAGATGCGCGGACAGCGCGTTGGGCCCCGCGGTCCAAAACCCGACCCACGGAGCCCGCAGCTCCTCCGCCATCTCCGCCGCGAACCAATAGAACGCGTCCGTCACCAAGCAGCTCACCTTCCGCCCGGACTCCGCCTCCGCCGCCGCGATCCCCTGCCGGAACCCCGCCGGCGCCGCTGACATGAACAGCTCGATCGCTTCCTGGTGCCTCCCGGTCAGCTCGTAGCCCTCCGGGATCCCGTCCCACACGTCGTGGGCCCGGACGTTGGCCGGCGGCGACGCGGCGGCGGCGGCGGAGGGGCGGTTTTTGAAGGCGGAGGCGTTGGACTGCGGGGTGCTGAGGAAGGAGAAGTGGGTCGACGGAGAGAGGGCGGCGAGGCGGTCGACCACCGCCAGGAGCGGGCCGGCGTGGGTGCCGAATGGAAATGCCAGCACGGCCACGTGAGGCCCGGCGGCGGTTGTCGGCGGCGGCATGTTTTTTCTGATTATATTGTTGTTATTTGAGTGAAGGGTGGAGTTGTAGAAATGAGAGGAGTTGTGGGAAAGTAAGGAGGCAGGTTGGGCGCCTATTTATATTTGTGTAATTGTTTTTTTACTTTGCGCTTTTTTTTTTTGGGGACAAATATACTACTTTAGTTTAGACTTTAGACTTTAAGGAAGAGATGTGGCAATTTTGGATGAGGTAAAATCCTAAGCAGGGATGATAATGAGACGTTTTTTTTTCTTTTCAAATTGGGTTTTTTTTTCAAAGATAAACTCAACTCCATGGGTATATTTGTAAAAAGAAAAAGGAGTTGATAAAAAATAGTTTTGGAAAAGAAAACTCAACCTCACTCATACGAATATACTCGCAAATAATTATTCCGAACAAGTAAATAATTATATCATCAATTTTTCTATAATTATATTTTCTATTTGGACTAATAACATCAATTATTATCTGTAGTATTAAAATAATAATGTAAAGCCTAATAGCATTCATAAAATATTCATATTATTAGGGTTTATATACAAATAGACATAATTTTTCTTTCTAAGAGCGGGTTAGGTGGACAGCAGGTTGGGTTTTTGCTAAACCCACATCCAACTCTACCCACCAATTTCAAAATTGGGTTTTATCCGTACCACCCAAAACTCGTTAACATGAATTTTACCCATTTGACAAGGTTGGATTAAGTTGGGTATTTGCGGGTACGAGTTGAAGTGTCATCCATAGTGCTAAATGCTAACTTTATAGATGTTAGCACCATGCTAAGTTGCTAACTACTACACCCACCATTCACATTTGCAACTTACTGGGTTTCAGGAGGGTCACTTGTCGGTTCGAATCCCAAAGGAGAGAAGGAATTTTTTTGCCAATCAAAATGTACTTTTCTCTAATATTTATTTACCTAATGCATTAATTATGTATATAACACAACAATATCAATTTTGCTATATTTTGAGAAGAAAATAACAATCCAAAACACTTATTTGCTATAATATTAGTACTGTCATATCACGATCTTATCACTATAGTAAGATTGACTGCACATAATACCTCTATTATATAATGATATTATCAATATATCTTAATATGACGTCCTCAAATTATTTTGTCAAACAGAAAATCTCATACTAATGTATCAAGTAATTTTATGAAAAATAATAATATCAACATCATATCACTTTCATGTATACATTTGCATGTTTTTTTATCCAAGATAAGCCCCTCGGGCATGGCCGAACAACAAATAAACAAAATCAATAATAATAAAGAACGGTAGCCCGTATGCAGCCGGACTCCCGATGGAAGAGTCTTTTTTGTCACGAGGTGGGCAGCTCTGAGAAAGCCCCGAGGAGCAAAAGACACGAAGCGACACAGGGGACGAGAAGAGAGAAAGAACTTCCCTTAGAAAGGCCGACACTTTAGAATGAGATGACTTTTTCGATGTAGCATCCCTGATGACTAGATGAAAATCTCTACATAAAGTAACAAACAAACATTATGGGTAAGACACTATCTCACTACATCACAAAAGACAAGTAGTTAACTGCGGTATGAAGGAATTGGGATATAATCAGTTGTGTACGGAGGAATGGAAGGAGATTAGGTGAGAGGATATTTTCATCTCTTTTTTTATATATAAATAATTAAAATATATGACGTGTCACTGTTTGCCTATTTGGCGCTGATGTGTCAACTGATTTGGTGCGTAGTCAGCGAACCGTCAAATAAGTTGACGGTGTTATTAACACCGTTAAAGTATCTGACGGAAATGGCTATATTTGTCCTACAACAACTTTAAAAGTTGGCTATAAGTGGTATTTCGTCAAATTTGGCTATTATTGGCACAAACACGAAAGTTTTGACTATACAAGTGTATTTTCGACATAGTTGACTGCGGTATGAAGGGGAATCGTCGTATATTGTAGTGTGGTAAAATTAATCATTAGATCCAATTTCGTTTGTGCTAGTTTTCATTTAGGTAGACATGAGAGCATTCAGCAGTAGCCCATCCATTTTGGAGGATGAGAAATGTGGTTGCTAAAGCCAAAGGCGCAAAGAGTCGCGGAAGCTTCAACATCCAACTAACTTCTACCCATTCACGTGACAACCCCCGGTCAATCTCTTTTGCCTATATCGTGGAACGGGAGAAGCACGATATCCTACTGCTCTGCTTTGGAGGTAATATCGCTTAAAGGCTAAATTACATGTTTGGTCACTAATCAAACGTTTTCATATTTTTCATCCAAAAAGTATTCATTTCTTATTAGTTACTCACTTTAATTCTTTTTTCATCACTGGTGACTAGCCATCCAACTTCGTTAGATTCATCCTATGTGACGGTGAACTCATACATTTGATCGTTAAATGAGTGACTTGTCAAATAAAAAATATAAAAAATTAAATTAATTTTATTTTTTCACCTCATAAGTCATAACTATAACTATTAAAATAATAAAATTTAATTCTTTTTTATTTTTCTTCACCACCCACCCAATATTTGTAATTTGTTTAAATGAAGAAAGATACCAAATTCGCGAGTCCCAGGGCCGCTCTATTCCAACAATGTTCTCGTTGCTAAGTTTCTCGAACATCCTCACCCCAATGTCCCTCCCGAACTCCTCTCTCTCCATACCCGACTCCTCTTGACATACCTTGTCCCATAAATCATTTGTGTATCCGAGCCCTCTCTGTGTAGTACAGGTCAAAGTGTTGGCACGCTGCAGAAACCGGGTTAGAGGATTTAGCCGACATAGGGAAACCTCCACTGTCGCCTCCTCCTATCAAGGAAGAAGGCATGGATTTCACCTTACTGAGATGCAAGTTCCGGAGAGACACCACCATTTTGTTGATCGAGTTGGAACCCAACGTGCGACTAAGCGTGTATTGAGTCATCAGCGATAAGTCTATCTTGGGAAGCAAAATAGAGCACGAAAAAGCATAAAGGGCAGAGTCTGAGCATAGGAAGCTTCAATTTCCTGTCAGGATGACGATCCATGTGCGACTCAAACACTCTGTCCAAGATATCGAAGCCCTCTCCTATTCTTTGATTTGTGGCTAGTGTTATAGTCCGTGCTGAGGGCCAACAATTCAATCAATTCAATCACCGTCATCCAGCCAACAGAAGACTCCAAGAACATGGCCAGTGAATCTGGATGCTCTAGGATGACTTTCTGATGAAGTAGTTCATCTCCACAAAAAGATGGTTGAAGTGCCATTTCACACCTAAGGGTGCCATTTTGGGTATTGATTCTTTAAATCGTACTCTCTTCAAATTTCGGCTCAAACAAGTAGATCTCGATGTCTCCTACAGTTTCTGATAACAATGTAATTGCACATGTTTGCGCCCCTAGTTCTTATCCGTTTGAGGGGCATAGTCGTGTGTTTTGGCCTATTTTACGCCGGGTTGTGCTATTTTGTCATATTTCAGGTCCCAGGCATCAAAGGGAAGGCTAACCACGAGTTTCGGGGCATTCGGAGGTCATTTCGTCAAGCTGGGGCCAAAACACGGGCACACCTAAGGCATTACACGGCCGTGTTCCTGTGGCCGTGCTTTTTATGCCGAGAGTTGAGTTGATTACACGGGCAGGGCCGAGACAAAGCACGGCCGTGTTCCACAAAAGCACGACCGTGTCCAACGCGAAGCACGGCCGTGTTTCTCCCCAACTGCTGGCCGTGTAATTAACACTGGCCGAGACACGGGCAGGCTCAGGCAAAGCACGGCCGTGCCCTCGACCGTGCTTTGGCCGCCTTTTTAAGCAGATTTTCAGCCAAACAGAGGGGGATTCGAGTTTTAGAGAGAGAGATAAGTTCCTAGAGAGAGAAAGCGACGAACAAGAGTCTCCAAGTGCCCTAGATTGATCTTCAACACCATTGGAGGCCAGCTTGAGCTTGGAGAAGTGCCGATCAACATCCAGAAGCAGGAATCCATCCTTCACAGTATGAATTCCGCGTCTGATTCTGCTTTTGCTTTCTTCTCCATGGAGTAGTTCTTCCATTCATCTGGGTATGGAGAACCCTAGATTTGTATGTTAGGTTTGATTGTATGAACCCAAGTACTGATTCTATGATTGATTATATTCGATTGAGGTTTTAATGATTGAATGACTTGAATCCTGATCAAATTCCTGTTGTTTCTGCTTTAACCTAGAATGAGAATATCTGCCTAGGTTAATAGAGTATCCTTGATTGAAGGTAGGGAGTTGGTGACTTTAGTCGAGGAACCAACTCACTATTCTGTACCGGATTTACTCCGGTAGTGGAGGTTTCGTTCTTAGGGCCTCAATCTGTCTACTCCGGTGGAGGTTAGTCGCCCGCTAGAGATTCAGATTGAGAGGGTCTGAAGACCTTTAGTCGAGACTTCAGGCTGTTTAAGAACCTTCCGCAGTATAACTTTCATAGAAACTGAACTTGGTAATTACAATCCGGCTTAACTGCAGTCTAGGGGGAACCATATCCGGGTGACCTCTTTAACCTGAATACAACCGTTTACCTGCTTTGTTAGTTTAGACTTGCATTCCAGTTTCATTGCTAGATAACACGAATTCACTGAGTAGTCATCAAATCTAGGACCCGGGTTGACATATAAACCTAACCCGCTATACTACGCTTTAGGAAGTGGTTTCACTTGGCCAATTCCTGGAGTGACAGTAGAGTCGAGTCAGTTTCCAAGTGGTCCACTAGTCTGCTTTGACCTGAAAATGCATAAAATGCTACCAATAGTGTATCTATCGTATAAAAGCATCATAGGGTAGCTAGAACACACTTGAAGCAATTATAGCACAAATCCTTTAATGTCGTGATAGGGAAATGTATGCACTTTTGATCATATTACGGGGGTATAGAATAGACATTTCTATGTGTCATCACATAACCCCACACATGAATTTTGCTTGTCCCCAAACAAACTTAATCTCAACATCCTTCACCTCCCTAGACCTTCACAATGACACATAACTTCCGATCTTAGGTAGTGGATCATAAGGAGCTTACAAGGTCAACCCTTGCACTCAGAAACTTTGATCCTCTACAATGAAGCTCAAAACGTACTTCGTAAGGACGAAATGATTCATCTTTCAAGAGATGGAGTTCGCTTCCTCTTACTCGAGTCTTATTTAATGAATATTGGGGCAAAGCATATGTAGCTTGATTAGGAAGTATTTGCGTTCCTGCCCACGTAAGTGTTTTGAAGTGTTTTCGTCTTAAGACGATCTTGCCATGCCACATTGCACTTTTCGGGGTACTTTATGCACATAAGGGGTTTTTTGCCTCGTACTTTTGTACTTGGAGAGACTTGATAAAGCAAGAGCAATTTTTCTAGCTCCTTTTCCTCGATCGTGTGGATGGTCAATAAAGTCAAGGGGTGTTCCGTGTCCTTGAAAACACATCATCAAGTTGGCAATTCTATCATACAAGTGAAATTTTTACTTGTACTAGAGAGGAACTAGGATCATCTCGTAGGCCTACCCCATCAAGACTCAACTAGTAACTCTTCCCAAACCCGATTTTTCCAAGGATAGGACACCTCATACTTGGCCTTTTACCCCATAATTTATTTGCAGTTACATCATCTATTGATGTAGACTTCACGTAGTAGGATATTGAATGTTCGAAGCTACATATTGACCCTCCTTTTTTGCTTTAAGTGCAGAAGACTCCTTCTTTCGAGGAGGAGTTTGAGAATTCGAAAAGGATGGTATGAAGCACCAATCCATATGTTTTTCTTAAAATAGATCCAAGTTTCATGACAAGGACATCGTTCATAGTCCATACACTAGTCTCTCTTAAATCACATATTATTCTAGAGACTAGCAATTCAAAGTATGATGAACTTTGAATTTGCTTTGGGGGTGTGGCATTACTCATATTTTTTTGAATTTTTTACACAAAACCCCCCTTTTCATATGCATCAACATTAGAAAAGTCTTGGTATATAATATGAGGAACAATCTACCTAAATCCCACTCTATATTGTAAATGGGACAATCTCATTGGACCAAGCAAATCGTACGAAGAAGGTAGAACGAAGTTACCACATTGCCGACATTCATGCAAATCGGCTAGTTCCTTTTGATGGTTTGTTGCCCTACCAACAAGAAAAAGATGTAAAACGGAGAGAGTAAGTGCGCCATCTTCTCCTCTACAGCAGAACCTTGGGCCTGTTTACTTTCGTTTCTGTTTCCTATTTTTGAGAAAACAGATGTTGAAAACAGGTGAAAACAACATTTTGTCGTTTCCGAAAACAGCAGGAAGTTGCCACTCTCTGTTTTCATAGTTGGAAACGAATAGAAAACTGAATGAAAAGTAAACAAGTTTTCTCGTTTTGGTTGCCAAATTTATGACATGAAAACAGAAAACAAGAAACGAAAATGAAAGTGAACAGGGAGAGGTTCACCAAAGCGGCTTGAATTTCGATCCTTGCACCTTGAAAGAGTGCAAGGTCGACTAAGCTCTCATTCGAATCTACAAATAACAAAATAGTGGAAATAAAAAAAAACACATATGAATAAATACAATCGTATTAAACCAAACATCGAGTTTTACATGGTTAGAACCCCTAGGGTTCACATACCTACTCAACTAAGGAGCTTAACCAGCCATTGGGAGGGGTTCCTGGGTGGGTGTTCACTGATTGAAACGAAGAACCCAAAATGCCCACAGAAAATGGTACCGACGACAGAGAAAATGGGGCCCATGCCACCGTTTCTGGTGCCTTTCTCCCTTGGAGGTTGTTCTTGGTCTAAGTTAGGAGGGTTGCTTTGTCGGTAGAGTAACGAACCTTGCTTGGCCTCTCATCTCCTCCTCCAGTTTTCTATCCGTAGAGACCTATTTATAGGCCTTTTATTAGGCTTTTTAAGAAGGAAAAATCACAACTCCAGCCAATCAGAAGCCTCCAAACACATGGCCAACGAATGATGATGCTCTAGGATGCCTTTCAGACGAAGTAGTTGATCTCCAAAAAATGGCGCATGAAGCACTCTCTTTGAATCTTGGCTCCAACAACTGGATCTCGATGTCTCCTACGGCTGCCCAGTGATCCACTAGTTTGCTTTGACCTGAAAAATCACAAAAAGCTAGCAAAAAAGTATAAATTTTATAAGAGCAATTATAAGGTTGCTAAAACACGCTTGAAGCAATCATAGCACAAATCAAAGGTATTATGACGATAATGATAGGAAATGTATGCACTTTTGATCATAATATGAGGTCTAGAATAGACATTTCTACGTGTCATTAAGCATAACCAGCGACCGGGTGTAGCACAGGGTAAGTGAAGTACACAATTATTTAATCCATGGTCTCTAGATGTAACATTACTTTAACTTAGGTTTGCTATCAAGCCAAACAAGAACAGTGATTAAGAAACTAATGCCTTGTTCACTTCTCATTTCGTTTTCTGTTTTTTGTTTAAAAAATAAAAAACATAAAACAAATGACAAAAAACGTGTTCACTTGTCGATCTCGTTTTCGTTGGAAAAAACCAATTGTTATAAATGGAAAAGCTGTGGATAAACAATAAATACTCGTTTTCTATAAACAAGGGGACGGGTTATTCCCCCGTTTCCCAGCGGAAAACACATGCTGGCTTTTAATGAGAACCCGTGTTCGAATCACCGTGGGCACATTTTTTTTCTTTTACCTCCATGCTCTATACGGCGCCGTTTTACTAAACTCTTTCACCCACAACCATAGAAAAAAGCTGCCTCGCTCGACCCCTCCTCTGGACTCTTCCCATAGCCCCGCCGGTCGCCCCATCTTCTTCCTCCGCCAGCCCCGCCCCATGTCATACCAAAGCAAAAATCTCATCCAAGTCCTTCAAACGAGAAAGAAGTTTTATCATAATGGACTGCAAGATTCTCAATTCGTCTTATGTAACCTCTTTACTGGAAGTGCGCATTGCGAGAGCCTTTAACATACTGCTCAAGTTTCCATTCTGGAAAATTCAAAAATCTTTGCAATAGGCATTTTTATGTTGTACTAGTACTTAATTACTATCCAATTGTACTTGTATTGTGTTTATTTGTAGTTTAAAAACTATTTAATTCGAATTAAAAATTATAATCATGGCTAGGGTTGTATGATAATCAAGAATCAGAAAACAAAATGAAGCAACTAAACAGGTTTTCATTTTCAGAAATCAGTTTCAGAACTCACCAAAATTCTCAGCTAAACAAGGTTTTTTCAGGTTTTGTTTTCCAGGAAATGACAGCTTCGTTTTCATTTTAATTTTGTTTTCTGTTGTGGCAGCTAACAGAAAAAGAATGACAAGTAAACGGCCCATAAACTAACTAAGCTACTTTAACAACTACTCTAGCTAATTATAAGTTGGGATCTCAATTAGGCATGAATCCCCCCAAATCCCTTCATTTGGTCGATGCTGAGTACTACCTTAGATTGATTAAATCGATGCTTCTACTGTAGAGAGTTATAGACTAGGTTGGAGTCCCTATTCGAGTTGTCCAACCTCGACCAATTGCTCTACCCGGAGAGGCGTACCATACAACAAACCTAGACAATTTAAGTATTCACAACCAACTCCCATAATTGGGAAAAACCCAATAGAAAACTATGGATCAAATCACACTTGTTAAAAGACCCATAATGAAGGTTCAACACATCTCCAGATGAGACTGAAGCTCGAAATACAGAAGAAGAAGTGCACGAGGTTACACAATATTGGTGAGTGGCGGCATGAGAACGGGTTGCCATCATAAAAGAAACTTGAGATATGGCAAAAGAGGGGTAGATCATTCAAAGAACATGCATATAAAAGACTTGCAGATCGGAGCCGTATCATTGTTATTTGCGGTTTTTAGGAAAATAGATTTAGGAAGAAAAATTGATATAGAAAGAAGACGAATGAAGAATAGATAGATCCATTAGATTAATTCGAGAAAAGAAGATCCTACCAAATCAATACATAGGTGTTCAAAACTCCTCTTCCGATCCTCAATTCATAATCCTTTTCTCTATTCTTCTGTTGCTTAAAACAGAGAAGACAAAGCCATTAATCTTAACCCAACAAAACCCCTAAAAATAATTATCATTAAATTATAGTCTCTTAATTCTAATTAACCACTAACACCTAGGGATGACAATCAAACCCATGACCGCGGGTACCTGTCCGTCCTCGACCCAGTCAACACGGAGAATCCCCGCACTGATCGGGTATGGGGCATGTATTGATAAAACCCGCAAAATGGTTAATTGGTATGAGGAGGGCAATGGTGTCAAAAGCTAGATTTAAAGTTTAAAAGGCTATGCTTTTACTCTTTGGACCTTCCAAATATTGTAGCTTTTGTTAAGGAAGTGTTTTGCAGCAAAAGCCTAAGGAAAATCCTTCAAGCCTAGTAAATTCCTTAGAAGTTACCTTTTAAACCACTTTTACGCTTTTGGTGTCCATTTATTAGGGAAATGTTGTAGGGTGTATGCAATTGTCCAGTTCGAACTAGACCAGACCAAACCTTGAGAATCGTAGTCCAAAAGTTAAAAAAATTTTAGGACCAAGGACTAGAGCTAGATTGCATTTAGTATGGTTCTGTCCGGTCCAAATATCAATAATGCTCATGTTCCTTTAAGTTTTATTAAATTCATAGAACCAAGGACCACAATGCATTATATTTAGTCTGTTTGGTCCCGCCTCGATGTCGGTTTGGTTCAGTGCGGTCTGCTAAAAAACAAATCGTTGCACACTCTACCATATTGGCCAGGTTTAGTTTTGCTGGCACAAAGAGAAAAAATGACGCATTTTTATTTGCTTTTAGTCGGGTATCCTTTTAGTCATTCTAGGAATTCCTCATCCCTAGTTGATTGCCACTTCTCCTCCATTCTCGTCTTTTCTCTGCCTCCAAAACCAACACAAGCATCCAGATTCCTACCACCAACGTCCTTTCCCATTCCTGCAAATGCCACCCCACACATATGTGATATGACTACACTGATGTCAAAGCCTGTCTTCTTTGGCCTCCCATTTGCCACCACTTTCACTTATTAGTGAAGGTTGCCTACAACTCTTATAGCTTCATCATTTTTCGATTATTTCCTCTTCTCATACTTTTTCTCTCTCGAAAGCATGAGGAAGTAGGTGAATGGTTGTTTAAAAGTTTATTAGTCTAGTATATGTGTGCGAGAGTAATCATTAATATATGAGATAGTTCATTTATTTGTTGATATTTTGAAAAGTAAAAGTTCTGATTATAAAATTTCTTTAAAATGTATAACATGTTTAAAAACTTTCGCTTTTACGCTTCACTTTCGTGCTTCCGCTTTTGCCCATCATTCGCTTTTACATAGAAGTTAGACTTTGACTGCATTGAGGGCGAATATGGTTTTATTAGCCTCCACCGCCCCATACCCATACCCGGCCTGGCAATAGAATTTCTTCACTTATAATAAATATATAGATAAAATTGTAACCTATCAATGATATTGAGGGTAAATCAGGAAAATAAATAGTAGAAATCCAATTGAGTGGCCACCCAAATCAAAAGCTAATTCCTTTCTCTCAACTCTCCCTTCACTCTTCACTATTTCTCTTGTGTGAACATGATTTATGCAGGGGCGGATCTACGTTGAGGCTCTCCCCCCACCCCCCCCCCCCCCCGGAATTTTGAAAATCACGTATAAGTACAACGAGAATTTTGAAGTTACGTATTAATTAAGATACTTGTATAAATACCAACAGTGTGGAACTTGAAGCAAATATGAGGGATTTTTCTAGAAATAACACTGTTTTTAAAAAAATTCCAAAAATAGCACCCAACTCCAAAAAATTCCAAAGATAACACCATTTCCCAAAAACCGCCATCCCTACCAGCGGTTTAGGTACGTTTTTCGATGAAAACCGCACTGGTAGGGGTTTTTTTTTTTTGAAAAATCCTAACTTAGGTGGAAATTTCAACGAACGTATCTTTGTGTTCGGGTATCCGATCGTCAATTTTTTTTATTCCGCATAACTTTTCGAGATCTTGCAAGCCGAAGACTGCTGAAGGTGGTTTCGTCCCGCCTTCGTCCTGAAAAAAGTTGTTTGCTACCCCGAACGAGCTTTTTTCCGATTTCGTCAAACTTTGGACAACCAAAACTTTGTGCTCCAAAATTCAAATGGCATGACTTTTTTTTATTTCGCATAAATTTTTAAGGAATACAACTTTTATCATAGACATAATTTCAAAATGTACGTGGATTGCTGAAAAGGGAAGGTAAGCTATTCCCAAAATCCTGTATATCCAAAAATAATTGTTGTTTTGAAAATTCATTCCTAGTAAAAATTGTAGTCCTTAAAACGTTATGCCAAATGAAAAAAAAAAATCATGAAGTTCGAATTTTGGAGCTCAATAACTTTAAACAATCATAACTTTGTGCTCCAAAATTGAACGTCATGATTTTTTTTTCCCCGTTTCACATAACTTTTTAAGGACTAAAATTTTTACTAGGAATGAATTTTCAAAACATCAATTATTTTTGGATATACAGGATTATGGGAATAGCTTACCTTCCCTTTTCAGCAACCCACGTACATTTCGAAACTATGTCTATGATAAAAGTTGTATTCCTTAAAATTTATGCGAAATAAAAAAAAATCTTGTCGTTTGCATTTTGGATCACAAAGTTATGATTGTCCAAAGTTTGACGAAATCAGAAATAAGCTCGTTCGGGGTAGCAAACGACATTTTTTGGGACGAAAGCGAGACCAAACCACCTTCGGTAGTGTTCGGCTTGCAAGATCTCAAAAAGTTATGCGAAAACAAAAAAAAATCCCGACGATCGGATACCCGAACACAAAGATACGTTCGTTTGAAGTTTCCAACGAGGTTAGGATTTAAAAAAAAAAAAAAACTGACCGCATGGTGGGGGTGCAGTATGCAAACAAACCGCATGGTGGGGGTGCGATTTGCAACCAAACCGCCACGACCCCACGCGGTTTGCAAAACCGCCCCCTACCAGTGCGGTTTTCATAGAAAAACGCGCATCCGGGTGGCGGTTTTTGGGAAAAGGGTGCTATTTTTGGAATTTTTCGGAGTTGAGTGCTATTTTTGGGGAGAAAAAAAATTAAACAGTGCTATTTCTGGAAAAATCCCCAAATATGATGGTATTTAGTCTAGCGGAGTAGTGAGTGTCTGTTGTGTTTGGAGGATGTGGGTTCCATACTCATCACCAACACAACTTGTTGTTTTTGCCTTATCAGATTAATTTATAATTTTTTGCTGAAAAATTTCATATAAGAGTGAGAATAATAATTTGGATTATATTATACTCTATTTTTGGATTAATTGATGTTTTGGGATAAGATGTTTTGAACCGTATTAAGAATGATCATTTCTTTGTCGACTTCATGATATAATAGGTGCGTTTAGTGTTATAATTGAAAATTTACATGTAAAATTTTAGGTATTATAATGTAGGATGTACGAGACGGGTATTACCCATGGGTACCCGAAAACCAATGGTACGGAGATATGTTTGCAAAACCTTACCCCGCTTGAATATGAAACAAGTATATGGGTTTGGATATTTGAAAACGAGATTTAATAGTTTAGACAAACCTGCCCAAACCCTCCCCAGGGCCATTACCATCCCTACTAATAGGTAAAAATATCTGTAATCGTGGTCATCCGCCCGAATCCGACCTGATTGGGCAGGGTAAAACCCAAACCGAAGGACTTTTAGTGGGTACAGGTAAAACTCGACCCCGAATATTGCAGGTAATATGTGGATATGATTTTCTTACTATCCGACCCGAACCCGCCTGATTATACACATGCATATGTATTTTGTCTAGAAATAATCATTATTTTTCTCTATATATTTTATATTTAGCATATAAATATAAAATTTTCATTATATTGTGTTGTTTTAATTAAGTTTCTTCATTCTAGTTAATTACCGTCGTAGTTTTCCTCTTATGTAATGTGAGAATACGTGTGGATGTTAACATATAGGTTGGAGTTATTAAGAGAAACTATTATCCTTGGATAACCGTGGATACCCGAAACCCGAACGGGTTTGAGTATGATTTTGATTTTCTACCCTTTTGTTATGTGGGTATGGGTAAAACTCGAACTAAATTGAATAGGGTAATGAATATGCACTATCCGCACCTGACCCGATCCATTATTATCATCCCTACTACTAACAAGTAACAACCCATAATTAATAACTAATAAAAAAAAAATGCGCGTGACACTTCATCGGCTAGCTGCGGCGATCTTGTGCCGTGGCTGATAGTCGAGTGGCGGCGAGGTTTCGGTTTCCTTAGTCCCTCTTTTGTTTTCTTCGACGAAGCTAATGGCAGGGATCCGAGAAAAGGAAAACTAACTTAACCTCATCCGGACTCATTCCGAAAAGCAAACCTAACTAATATTCCCAGCCAAAAACAAAGTACAAATAACCGGACAACACGACTCTGTTGATCGACAGTGTTCAGAATTTCACCAACTCCCTGTGGCAGCTATATTCTGTCCTTTGGAACGACCGCAAGAGAGACAACGAGAGCAGAGCTATTTATAGTTTCCAACACTTCATCAAATCCAACAGATATCTAAAAAGTAAGTTCTTAAGTTTTAAAGTGCGATTTTGACTGCATCGTGCGACACAGATATCTAAAAAAACCCAGAAAACCAGAACATCTAGTTCCGACACAGATATATGGAGAAAAGTAGCCGCCGTACTACCGTGTCATCAGCTGCGTGGCTGTTATTATTATTATTATCGATGTCAATTCAGCTGTGTCGGGTTGCTGTCGCCGGCGACGACGCGTCAGCTTCCTACTGCAGCGACGACAAGTATTTCAAGGGCGACCACGATCTGAAGGCGAGCATCAAGGCTGTGCTGGGAGGGTTGCTCGAGAAAACGACGGCTTCGGCGGACTCCGACATCGAGTCCAAAATGCAACATCCGGCCGACAATCCGCGGGTCTACGGCGCTGCCTTCTGCGAGAAGTCTCCGACAGAGGCTTGCGCGCACTGCCTCAGGGTGGCCAAAAAACAGCTTCTTCGTGGGTGCGACCACACTGCCGGTGCCGAATTCTACTCCGAACTCTGTTACTTGAGATTCGAGATCTACAACTTCCTCAATTAATTTTTCGATTCAAGTTTGTTGGTTTCCAATAAAGAATTTTATATCAATTATTCATTTTTTTTTTATTGTGGTTCTTATGTAATAAACTTTGTTAAGGCAATCAATGTAACGAACTGTATTTGTGTTTAGTTTGTGGGTTCTGAATTGGGTTTTGGTAAGTGTCGGTTTCAGTATCAGAATTGAACAGTGGAGCGAGGACACACTCGTCATTAATTATTTGCCAAGTTATAATATGTGTGCGTATATTTTGATATGACCTCTAGCTCGAGGTCTTTGGACTTGATCGATCACAAGATCGATTGATACAAGATCGATCTTCAACTCGGATCAAGAATATATATCAAAACAGAGTTTTGGCTTTGAGATACGGTGGGATTGAAGGTGCAATTCCACATCTAGTGAAATGATCGATCAATATGGGTAGCAGCTCGACCACAATTGAGGGAAAAAATCCATTGATACAGTTATAATATGTGTGCGTATATTTTGATATGACCTCTAGCTCGAGGTCTTTGCACATGATCCTGACAAGATCGATTGACACAAGATCAATCTTCAACTCGGATCAATAGAATATACCAAAACAGAGTTTTGGCTTTGAGATACGGTGGGATTGAAGGTGCAAATTCCACACCTGGTGAAATGATCGATCAATATGGGTAGCAGCTCGACCACAATCGAGGAAAAAAAATTCATTGATACAGAGACCACTCGGTGATTGGAGTCCGCCAACAGAAGCACGAATGTACGAGCAAAGAACTCAATGAACCCAAAGGTTAAATTCAATTGATAAAAGATGATCCTTACAACCCGATTTTTAATCCTTTAAATAGACAAAAGGAACTGTAAATCTATGCTAAGTAGGAATGGAAAACATCCTCAACACTAATAAGGAAAAAGAACACTAAACAGTCCTGCAAGTAAAATAAACAGTCTCCATATTATCTTCAGGTTGCTCGTTTAAGGCCTTTCCAAGCTTAGTCGACGACCTCAACCAGCTCCTTCATGATGCTAAGTAAGACCTTTACTTTCATCTCCAATTCCTAGCTCCACTCGACCCGCTCCCAAACATAACGAGTAAGCTTCTAAAGTTGGTACTTCAAAACTGTTTCCATAATATTTCGTCATTTTCTGCCCTATACGATAATAAAGAGCCGCTTGATGTTTATTTGATAAGAAACCTGGCTGGGTCATGGAACTCGGAGGTACAAAACTAATGCTCTGATGAAAGTTGGACATGTTATTAGCACAATTTCTTTTGTATATTTCGCTATCAACTGATTCTTGACACCCTATACGATAATAAAGAGCCGCGTGATGAAAGTCGGGACGAGGCTGTCGATCGCGCTCTGCAACATCACTTCCTGTTCCAGCCAGTAATATGAACTCGCTCCTCGCCGTTCACCCTATCGACTCCATCGTCGGATACCTCGAAGTCGATGACGTAGACATTGCCTTCGTCGTCTTGCTTGAAGGCCAAGAAAGCGAGACGCCGGTCTTGGAACGCCGCTCTGCACCAAAAGAGAGTCCCGCCAAACAAGTTCTTGCCGAAAGTGAAGCTGTAGCTAGCTCCTGCGCCGACGGCACGAGCCCCAAGATCATGTTGCTTGGATCTGCAGTGAACTATCACTGCCATTTCGCTGCTCAGCTTGTTGCTCACAATTACCGTCGCGTCGTAGTATCCCGCCGTAACGACACGGTCTTCCATCACAGCTGCGTGCAGCTGCAGAACGAACGCCGCAGTCAGGATCGCTTTGTGGATCCTCTCCTGCAGCTGCATCCTTGTCATTATAGCTAGCGATACAGTATTTGTAGTAGTGGTATTATTTTTCTTCTTCTTCTCTCGAGCTTGTAATGACGATCAATGGTGGTGGTGTAATGAATAATGATCGGTAATCCTTTTCATATATATATAGTGACTACTTCAGTGCATTCACAAAAATGAGTGCGTTCAATGCACCCAACTCAAAACTAGTCTTAAGGTGTCGGATTTTGAATTTGTAGAATTAGTGTAATATGATGATAGAACATATGATAACAACTAATTAGCGGATTACCCTAAGCTCTAGACCTCCAATTTTGAGTTCTATCCGTAAACCCCAAATTGTAAACCCTAACCCTAAATCTCTAAACTCTAAATCTTTCAAATTAAAGTAAATCTTCAATGGTTTTTGTGCAAATTCATGTGCGTTATTCTTCATCACATCATAAGTGATGATTGACATCATTTTGACATAAATCGCATGTTTAAAGTGACTGTTATGAAGCAAGTGCACTGAATGCACAAAAAAAAGTGAGTGCACCGAAGACGTCATCATATGTATATATATGAGGCGTACGCTGTACGCTTGTGTTCACACTTGGTTTTTGTACTTGAATATATTTCGCTGAATTGGAATCGTAGGTTATTATTTTCTTAGATTAAATGAATCTTGTGGCTTGGATTGGAGAATTAGGGATTGGGTTTCACCGATTAGAGGTTAGGGTATAGTATTATGCCCCAAACTTCGGTTGATTCGTGCGCTAAATAGTGAAACTCGACAGTCGTACAATGTATGCCTGACGTACGTTAGCCTGACCTTCTCTATCTAGACCATGAATTAAATTGAGTTTGAAGTATGATACTTATACCCTAACCTCTAATGGACCCAAACCCCAATTCTCTAAATCAAATCCGAAGTTCAATTTAATGGAAAATATTAATGGACCGTTGAGATTGGCCAGGAAAAAAAAATCTAAAAATCATATCATATGGAATATGTTATACTTCTGGAGTATATATAAGTCATTAATTACCATAATTATATATATATATATATGGTGGCTACTTCGGTGCACTCACTTTATTGGGTGCACTCAATGCACTCATCTTTAAAAGTGTTCATAATACATCAAATTTTGAACTTTAATTAGTACTCTCAATCTAATATGATGATATGACATAGAATCATAACAAATCAATCTATTACCCTAACCCCTTAACCTTCAATTTGGAATCCCAATGCAAAATCCCAAAATATAAACCTAAACCCTAACCCTAAACCTCTAAATCCTAAATCATTCAAATTAAAGTAAATCTTAAATGAAATTTTTTTTTTCAAATTCATGTGCTTCTTATTCATAATATCATAAACAACAATTGATACCGTTTTGACATGAATCACATGCTGAGAATAATGATTATGAGGCGGGTGCACTGGGTGCATCCAAAAAAGTGGGTGCGTCGAATTACGCCACCATATATATATATAATTGATAAGGTGAGTGATAATGAAGGTGGTATAATGGGCTCTCACACTTTTGCTCATGGAGACGTACGGCTCTTATAGTTGAAAAAATGCAACCGGACAAGCACAAAACCTAGTTCTGCCTTAGTTGTGCCACGTCATGACGGCATGATCGACCACTCCACCAACTAGTGATGGATGGAGCTGCCAGTTGTTAAGAAGGGTTGCAGTTCTCTCAATTTCGAATTTAAGGGGTCGTTTGGAAGTTGCGATTGTTAAATAGATGTATTGTTGAGAATGCATGTATAATATTATACATGTATTGTCGAATTTGATGCATTGTAGAATACAACGTTTGGTATGTGTGATTGTGTATGTCGCATCAGCTAAAAGCTGAGACAAAACAATCTCAACTCAACTATCTCAACAATCACAACTAAAAGTTGAGATATAACAATCACTCAAAATGAGTGATAGTTTCTGTCACATCAGAGAAACAATCCATGTATTGTTTCTGCTAAAAAAACAAAAAAACGATGCATTGTAAACAATACATGCATAATGACAATCTCAACAAAACAATCGCAACTTCCAAACGACCCCTAATATTATAATATGTGTATTTACATATTGAGAAAATATTAAAAAGCGATAAGATGAGGATTAGTAGACACCACCGATTAGGGATGGCAACAAAACCCGAACCCACGGGTACCCACCCTACCCAACCCGGTCAATGAGGATAAAAACCGTGTTTGGGTTTAAACCCGCTACACTATTCACCGGGTTGGGTTGGGTTTAGGTAAACCTGCCCCATGGGTACCCGCCCACACATATAATTACTTTCCCGGTATATTTAATATTCTAAATAATATATCTTCTTTAAACAACTAATATTATTTATGTTTGTGGAGACATGTATAATTTGTTCTTTCTAATTATTTAGAATGAAGTTGATATTGTGGAGTGGAGAGTGAAGAAACTTATTTGACGAGGAAGAAGATTTCAATTAATCTTGTTGTTAATAGATGTTTATCTTTAATTTTGAAGAATTTGTATTGATCATTTGCGGTTTGCTTGTATGTTCTAGATTGGTATTTTTTGTATGAATAATTTGTATGAGAAAATTGATGTTAAACTTTTATTTTGAAAGAAATTTTTTATTGTAAATTTTTTACCACAAAAACCCACGGGTACCCATGAACCCGCAGATATCCAGCGGGTTGGATTTGAGTTTTTCAAACCCAACGGGTTTTACCCCGGGTTTTTTTTTGCGGATAAACCCATGAATTTGGGTTTGACAAAACCCGCCCAACCCGACCCATTGCCATCCCTACCACCGATATTGTAATTTATTATTTTCATCTCCTAATAAGAAGAATGTTTCGCTAAAATACTACTTTGGTCTGAACTTTATCAAACTCCTATATTGTTTGAACTTTCAAATAATTAAATGTTTTTTTTTTACTTGGCCTTTCCGTTAACCATAAACTTTGACCATCAAAATGTCCTCTCAACATTGAAGTAGCAAAATAGAGACGACCAATCTCTTTTAAAAATAAAAAACATGGCAAACGTCGAATATCTTTCTGTCTGTTATAATAAAATAAGTTGCAAAAGCATGGTTGCCAATAAGTGAGTGATGTCAACTCTAAATACGATATCCACAATGTCCTCATTGCTTCGTGTATTAAACCAACGACACAAGAATACGTACATACTCAACTCAAGAGCCGTACGTAACAAACGTTCCCATTTTGCAAGAACAAAACGAGAGCCTTAGGTCGACTCGAGGGGAATGGATCCCACCGACCTTTAGTATTTTTTTTTTTTTTTTTGAAAGATGACCTTTAGTATTTAAGGACCCATCTCATCTCATCTCATCTTAATTATAATTATAATCATAATCATAAACAACAAACCCTTGCTATTAATAAACAGAGAAAACTACAGCCGGGTGTTAGTACGATCCAACGAGTACTAGCCACCAAGATTGTCAACGCAGTGGTTCGATAAAGTAAGTGGGTTAAGGGTTAATGGTCCGATCGGTTTAACCCAGATTACTCCTAATATATGTAAAAATTATTATATTGTGACCCCATATATAAATTATATCAATTTGCATTTGGCATTATATCAAAATATAGTTCATGCTTAATTAGCAATTCATATAATAAAAATATAAAACATATCTTAATTAAACCTATAGCACCAATATTCAAATGTTCATATTTAAATTTACATAAATATGGTATTACAAAAAAAAAACTCATTATATAAAATATAAAATCATTTGCACTATTCTCATGGAGACAAACACTTATAAATTGATTAACTCTCCCACTAGTTAATGTACCTTGAGCAAAGTGCACTGAGCTAGGGTTACGAACTTACGATATCTCATGGGGACGACAACGTCACCACAAGCGCCGGCGTCAAGAGAAGCCACCAAACACAATGAGTGGAGCCCGGCGGCCTGCGGACGTGTCCTCCTCCCCAAACAATAAGAGAGAGAAGGAAACTATGCAAACAAATAAAATGGTTCATGCCCTAGACCTGGAAACCGAAATCGTGGTTGTGGAGGATATAACAGCATAAGAGATGGAAGAGGAAGCAACACACCTTCACCCAACGAGTCAATCTATGTGGATGGACGGAGCGCGTCGACTGTTCAAAGGAGAGCTTCAAACAAGATAGCTTGTATGTTGCATATTCCGACTCCAAGGATGTGGCTCAAACGGAAAAGGAGGAAGATGACACGATAGATGAGATGGAGGAGGATCCAAGGTGTCCAACGGCTCGACGACGGGGAAAAGAAAATGGCGAAGAGAATGGAGGTCATTGTTGGTAGTGCAGGGTTTGGGAAGTAAAGTACCCTACCAGCCACTCGCTCATAGCCTAAACTTACTGTGGGCAAGACATGGTGAGCTACAGACTTATGACCTAAAAAATGGTTTCTACCTAGTAAGATTTTGACACCAAGAAGATGATGAAAGGGATGTGAATGGGGGACTGTGGCCTCTTGGAGACACCAATCTTACGGTAATGAGATGGTATAAGGGGTTCAGTCCATGGAAGGTCGAGGTGAGATGCACTATGGTGTGGGTGCAGCTCCCGGACTAACCAATAGAGTTTTTCAATAAAGAAGCAGCCATGAGATTTGGTGGATTAATCAGAAAGCCTATTTCAGATGATAGGGCCACAGAAGAAGGAGCAAGAGGTAATTATGCTTGAGTATGTGCGGAAAATGACCTCACAAAGCCATTGCTTACAAAGTACAAGGTTCAGGGGGTTAAGTACCGCATACAACACAAGGCACAGTGGAGATAGTCCCTAAAACTCCCTCGAAGGAGAACAAGATGGATCCTATGTATGGTGATTGGATGATGGTAAGAAAGAAGGAATGTCGCCATGTTCGTAAGTCCTATGACTTGGGAAATAGGGGAGCATTCAATGCTCATGCAAATGTGGGCGGGCGAAATCGGTACCAGGTCTTGAATGAGGATATGAAGCATGAAAGGGAGATTGTAGCTGAACATGAGAGCCATGTTACCATGGTAAAGGATAATGTGCAGGAACAGAAGAATCACAAACCGGTGAATCAAGGGAAGAAGGTGGTTGGAGAACGAAATGGACTAGAATAGGGTGATCAACTGAAAAGAGAGGAGCAAGTACAAGGGAGGTGCAGATCTAGGTGTGCTTTCGTCAAAAGTTGATGGTGCAAGGACCATATCCCCTTTGGGTAATAAATTACACTTCTTAGCTATAACTGTCGTGGCGTGGGAAACACACGAGCAGTTAGAGCCCTAAAGTCGCTTTTGTGACAGGTTTCCTCGAAGGTGGTCTCTTAATGGACACTAAACAATTTGAGACTGAAAATGAGGTTACCATGCCTACTTTCGTTTTCGAGAATGGTAAATGTTTGCCGGCAGACGATTCAAATGGAGGCAATGCGGGGGGATTATATATGTGGTGGTAGGAAGAAGTAAAGCTCGAGGTTATGGGGGATCTTAACAGCATATTGATGGTCAAGTTGAGGAGGAGAATGGCAGGGTGTGGAGGTTCATCGGAATTTATGGATGGCGGGAAAGGGGAGAAAAATACATATGTGGGAGCTACTGCGGTCATTAGCAGATCAATGGACAGGATTGTGGTTGTGCGGTGGTGACTTTAACCACGTACTGTCTACTAAGGAGAAGCATGGCGGAAGTATAGGTCGGAGAATTGAGATGGTCAAGGTTTTGGAGTGTATGGTGGACATCAGAGTGCACGATCTGGGGTACGAAGGATACCGCTATACATGGGAAACCGAAGGTGGATGGGGGTTACATCTAGGAATGTTTAGATCGGTTTGTGGCCAATGACGCTTGGAGAGAGATGTTTGATACCGCAAGAGTTGTGGCTGGTGGCGCAAGTCGGTCTGATCATTGACCAGTCTATTGTGATAGTATGGGAAGGGATGATGAAGATATAAAGTGGGGATGGTCGTTTAAGTTTGAACCACACTGAGCAAAACACATTGATTGCCCGAGAATAGTACAAGAAGCTTGGAAGATGGGAATGACAGACTTCTTTTCCCTGGTCGAAGATGTAGAAAATCGGCTGGATAGTTGGAGTAGAGCTACTTTCTCTAACTTTAGAAAACAAAAAGAGAGAATAAAAAATGAGCTTAGAGCTCTTGAGAGGATACCAAAGATGGATTCAGTGTTCTTGCAAGGTAACCAACCCCGCTTGGAGCTTGAAGATATTGAGTGTGATGATGAACTTTTTTGGAAAGAACAATCTTGTGCAGATTGGGTAAAGGATGGCGATAAAAATACAAACTATATTCACAGGAAGGACACCGCTCGACGTAAAAGAAATACGATCACTAAACTGAAGGATGAGTCGGGGCACTGTATAGGGGTGTTTGGGTGTCTTGTGGACTTCTTTGGCCAACTATTCAAGGAAGGAGAGTGATAACGATGTAATTGCACGAATTTGCGCCCCTAGTTCTTATCCGTTTGAGGGGCATAGTCGTGTGTTTTTGGCCTATTTTATGCCGGGTTGTGCTATTTTGTCATGTTTCAGGTCCCAGGTGTAAAAGGGAAGGCTAAGCACGAGTTTCGGGGCATTCGGAAGTCATTTCGGTGAGCTGGAGCCAAAACACGGGCACACCTAAAACAGAACACGGCCGTGTTCTGTGACCGTGCTTTTACTGCCGAGAGCTAATTCGAGTTTGGACCACATTGGCCAAAACACGGGCAGGGCTGAGATAGAACACGGGCGTGCTTCACCAAAGCACGGCCGTGTCCTCCCAAAGCACGGGTGTGTTCTCCCAAAGCACGGGCGTGTTCTCCCAAAGCACGGCCGTGTTTGCACCAACACAATGGCCGTGTAATTAACCCTAGCCAAAGCACGGGCGGGCTGAGGCAAAGCACGGCCGTGCCCTCGACCGTGCTTTGGCCACTGATGCCTTTTTAAGCAGATTTTCAGCCAAACAGAAGGGGATTCGAGTTTTTGAGAGGGAGAACGATTCCTAGAGAGAGAAAGCGACGTACAAGAGTCTCCAAGTGCCCTAGATTGATCTTCAACACCATTGGAGGCCAGTTTGAGCTTGGAGAAGTGCCGATCAACGTCCAGAAGCAGGAATCCATCCTTCACAGTATGAATTCCGCGTCTGATTCTGCTTTTGCTTCTTTCTCCATGGAGTAGTTCTCCCATTCATCTGGGTATGGAGAACCCTAGATTTGTATGTTAGGCTTTGATTGTATGAACCCAAGTACTGATTCTATGATTTGATTATATTCGATTGAGGTTTGAATGATTGAATGACTTGAATCCTGATCAAATTCCTGTTGTTTCTGCTTTGACCTAGAATGAGAATATCTGCCTAGGTTGATAGAGCATCCTTGATTGAAGATAGGGAGTTGGTGACTTTAGTCGAGGAGCCAACTCACTATTCTGTACCGGATTTACTCCGGTAGTGGAGGTTTTGTTTGTTAAGCTCTCAATCTGTTTACTCCGGTGGAGGTTAGTCGCCCGCTAGAGACTCAGATTGAGAGGGTCTGAAGACCTTTAGTCGAGACTTCAGGCTGTTTAAGAACCTTCCGCAGTATAACTATCATAGAAACTGAACTTGGTAATTACAATCCGGCTTAACTGCAGTCTAGGGGGAACCATATCCGGGTGACCTCTCTTAACCTGAATACAACCGTTTAGTTGCTTTGTTAGTTTGTTAGTTTAAACCTGCATTAAAGTTTCATTGCTAGATAACAAGAATTCACTGAGTAGTCATCAAATCTAGGACCCGGGTTGATAATTAAACCTAAACCCGCTATACTACGCTTTAGGAAGTGGTTCCACTAGGCCAATTCCTGGAGTGACAGTAGAAGTGAGTCAAGTTTTTGGCGCCGTTGCCGGGGACGGCTAGGTTGTTGAAGAAAAGTGATTTTTGTTAATTTAGCTTTTCTTTTTTCTTTGTTTGCTTTGTCCCACTTGTGCCTTCACGGGTTTGCTTGCTTGAGTGTGTGCAGGTAGTGCATGACCCGTAGCCAGTCAGGAGGTTTACTGCCGTTGAATCCAGAGATTGACCGCACCTGTCGCCAACTCAGGAGACAACAGAGAGCTAGACTGGCTACGGAAGAGCACATAGACGGCCACCTGAGCAGCGATTCTGAGGAATAGTACAGGATGGACGGAGAGTACAATCAACACCAGGGGAATCCTCAGCAGGCTCCCCCGGTGAATCAGGTCCTGGGGAACAACCCCATACCCCAGGATCATGGAGTTCATCATCCACCGCAGCCGGGTCCCACCTTGGAGTACTACTACACTCCTCGGATTGCTGACATCCGCCCGGTCATCCTCTACCCCCCTATTCCAGCAAACAACTTCGAGATCAAGCCATGCTGGATTCAGCTCATCACATCCTCCATCCAGTTTCATGGCTTGAAGGATGAGGAGGCCAGGGTACATCAGTCCCGTTTTCTGCAGCTGACGAACGGGTTCAAGCTGAATGGTGTCCCGGATGATGCAATCCGCCTTCATCTCTTCCCCCATTCTCTGGCGGGGAATGCTAAGAGGTGGTTGGAGACCCAGCCCCCATTGTCCATCGCCTCTTGGGACGATCTGGCTGACAAATTCGTGCACAGGTACTATCCGGCATCGAAGACTACAGAGATCCAGCGGGAGATCACTCACTTCCGCCAAGAGCCAGATGAGTCACTTCGTGATGCTTGGGAGCGGTACATGGGCTATTTCTGGCAGTGTCCCCATCATGGCTTCAGTGATGCATTCACAGTGGGGAACTTCTACAGTGCCCTCTCTCCAGATAGCCAGAGGGTGATTGAGTCTCTATGCCCAGGAGGGGATATTCTCACTAAGACTCCACCCGAGCTGAACCAGATAATCAGTACTTTGGCTGCCAGAGATCATTCTTAGGGACAGGGTAGCCGAGGCAGACAGTCCCGGGACCGTGGTGTGCACGCCATGGAGACCAGATCCGGGCTCGAGCAGCAGGTAGCTGAGCTAGTGCAGACATTGAAGCAGCCCAACAGTCTTATTCCGGGCAGAGGTTTGGCTACACCTCCAGTAGCTCAATGTCAGTGGTGCGAGAGCTCCAATCACCTAGTGGAGGACTGCCAGGCTATGAGGGAGTCTACCACACCCCAGGAGCAGTTGGCCTTCATCGCCAATGCGCGGCGCCTCGATCCATACAGTAACACATATAATGAGGGGTGGCGCCAGCATCCCAATTTCGCCTGGAGCAGCAACACCACTAAACCACCTGGTTTCCCAGCACCAGCAGGTGGTTTTTAGCAGAGGCAGCCCTTCCAGGCTCGCCAGGGGCCAGACCCACAGCAGCAGCCCTACCAGCCTAGGCAGGGGCAGCCATTCCAGCAGCCCCAGCGCCAGTTTGTCGAGCCACCAGCAGCCCCGGCCCTAGATGATAGGATGACGAAGCTGGAAAACATTCTAGCTTCGTTCATGACTAGCACTCAGGCTGCTATCACGTCACTGGAGGCAGGTCAGCGGAACCATGGTGCCATTTTGAAGGATCTGCAGACCCAGGTGGGCATCTTGGCCCGCCAAAACACTACCAGGGCACCGGGGACTCTGCCGGCCACTACTGTTCCAAATCCTCGAGATCCTCACCAGCATCAGCAGCTGGATGCCATTTTTACCAGGAGCGGTAAGACCATATCTGCTGATCCTGTCCCGGCCAGACAGGAGGAACCACTACCTGCTTCAGCACTTCCAGCCGGCGATGCAGAAGTGCGGGTGGAGAAGGAAGCCCCTGCTCCCAAGCCACAACCAGTGGTTAAGGAGCATGTACCCCAGCTTCCCTTCCCCACTCGCCTACACAAAGACAAGCTGGAGACTGAGTTTGCCAAGTTTATGGCAATGTTGAAGCAGCTCAACATCAGCATGCCGTTTGTGGAGGCACTGTCGAAGATGCCCAAGTACGCGAAGTTCATGAAAGATCTCTGCACCAACAAGAAGAAACTTGGGGATCTCTCGACAGTGTTGCTGAGCGAGGAGTGTTCTGCTATCCTGCAGAACAAGCTGCCCGAAAAGCGCAAGGATCCAGGGAGTTTTACTATCCCTCTTACTATTGGCAGCATGCATGTAGGCAAGTCCTTGGCGGACCTAGGCGCTAGCATAAACGTCATGACATATAAGTTGTTTAAGAAGCTAGACTTAGGTGAACTTAGCCCTACTAGGATGAGCATTCAGCTCGCTGACCGTTCCATTGTGCATCCTAGGGGTGTCATAGAGGATCTGCTTGTTAATGTTGGTGCATTCACATATCCTGTTGATTTTGTTATTCTTGATGTAAATGAGGATGTGGATGTGCCTTTGATTCTGGGTAGACCATTTCTTGCCACCGCCAAGGCACTTATTGATGTGCATGATGGTAAACTGATCTTGCGTGCTGGGAATGAACAGGCTACTTTTTCTGTGACTGAATTTGATCACTGTGCTATGATTGCTGTCACGCCTGTACATGCAATTTCTGATCAGATACACGAGCCTGTCGTGTATCCTTCTGCACCTCTTATTTTGCAGGACCCTCCTATTATTCCTTCCCCGCCACTCCATCCAGCCTCACCTCCGAACAAAAAGCTCAAGGAGGAGTGGCGGCCGAAGCAGCAGGTTGCTAAGCCTGCACGGAAGAAGAGTGCAGACCACTATGAACTGGTCCCACCTCCTGCACCACGACCACCCTGGCCGTCTGGGTACTCACTCGCCTGCATATTGCCAGATGGACAGGTTGAGCTGACTGATGGTGGTGGTCGCATCCGTCGGGTGCATGGCCACAACCTGAAGCTGTACCTCAAGAGCGACGTGGATCCGCTCTTGAAGGCACCTGTTCCTGCACCGCCCTGAGTATCCACCATGGGCGTCCAGCTAAAAGACGGTAAAGAAGCGCTTGTGGGGAGGCAACCCCACCACGGTTTGACTTTCTTTCTTATGTTTTGAGTCGAATTGTAAACCAGTTTGGTTTTGGTTTGTTTTCTTTTGTTTTGGATGATGTCTTATTGGGCTGACATTGGACCTAACATATTGTGTTTGAGCTCTTTGGTTTCCTCTACCTGTGCTTGGCTTGATTGGTCCTCTCTCCAGTCCGCTTCACTCCGACTGGTCCGCTTCCAGTCCCCTACAGTCCGTGCATACCGGTAACATCGTTCCCCTTTCCCTTCCCTCTTCTCCATTGAGGGCAATGTCGATCTTAAGTGTGGGGGGATGTTTATCTTTAACTGCATTAGATCTGTTTGTGTGCTTGGAGCCTAGTCCACTGTCCAAATTTTTAAATTTGAGGGCTCCAAGTACGTGTTTCCGTGCAATTGCCTGCTCAGTATGCTTTGAATTGACAGTCTTTATAGTAATGTG